AGTAGATTATGTACAGTACTGGAACTGATGTTGTCCGCCCTCCAACGTTAACAGTGATATTCCCCAGTGAATTGGAGAAGCTTTTGCTGTATGTGCTCCACTGTGCATGCCACCCTTGCATGAGGATAGTGAGCCGGGGTACAGCACTAGTGACAGCCTTGAGATCTTTCTTCTGAGCTGCAGTCAAGCTTTGAGCCCAAGGAGGTGGATTAGCTGCTTCAATTGAGACTTGGATTATGCTGACAAGCTTTTTCCCAATCCAATCAAGAGCCATTGCAGCCCCAATCGTGTATAAAGCAACTTTTCCTGCCATTTTAAAAGCAGACCCAACAGTCCAGGTTGATTTTGCTTGCAATTCTGCGGCCTGGATTTCATTTTTAGATGTTGTGAAAACAGAAGAGACCTCTCCTTCAATTGCTGTGGCAGCTGTTTCGGGAACTATAGGTTCAATCCCCCAGACTACTATAGGTTCTCCAACTACACTAGCAGCACGGGCTGGAAAATCGGGGGGATTTAAGGCTGCAATGTCAATGGAAGCAGTAGCCTCTGCTGCAATACCAGTCGTGACAGTATTCCCTATAGTGAGGTTCATTCCTGTTTCCGACCAAGTAGTCATTGCATCTGATGCAGCCATAGCAGTACTGTCTACTATAGCCATGTTATCAGTAGCTGCTCCAGCATCAATTGCCAATTGACTATCCGCTTCAGCTAATAGTGCAGGGATATCTGCTGCTGCCATTTTGAATGATAACTTTATAGGAGATGCAACTACTACTTTTGATGAAATAAGCTTATTTATTCCTTTATATATGACCTGGTCCTGAGGAAGTCATAAACCTGTTATTAAAATTTAAACCACCATACCTTGTATGTACTGACCATTCTGAACGAGCCCAGCCCATTTTTGTACAGAAATTATCATAAAAAACATGTCCTGGTTTTCACGTCTTGAAGGTCAATTAAAAGTAGAAGATGTCCTTCTGTCCAGCGTAGCAGAGAAGTATGGAACTCCTTGCTATGTATATTCACGTTCAGGCTGTGAGACTGGCTACAATGAATACAAGAAAGCTCTAGAGTGGTGTCCAGGAGGTGGAAGGGTTTGTTATGCAGTCAAAGCTAACAGTAACCTCTCCATTCTCAGTCTACTAGCGGACCTTGGGTCTGGATTTGAAATAGTTTCTGTAGGTGAGTTAGAGCGGGTCCTTGCAGCAGGAGGAGAAGGCCAAAAGGTGGTATTCTGCGGAGTTTGTAAGGAGGAACATGAAATCAGACGTGCGTTAGAGGTCGGGATTTTTTGCTTTAACGTCGAGTCTGAGAAAGAGCTTGAGCTTATACAGAAAGTTGCTGAATCGATGAAGAAAGTCGCTCCCATTTCCCTCCGAGTGAATCCAGACATTGACCCCCAGACCCACCCTTACATATCAACCGGGCTGAAAGAAAATAAATTTGGAATCGAAAGCAAGAAAGCCGTTTCGGTATATCAAAAAGCAGCTGTACTACCAAACGTTAAGATAGTAGGTATTGCATGTCATATTGGGTCTCAAATCTTAACAATGGAGCCTCTGCTTGAAGCATTTGACTGCATCACGGGTCTGGTTCAAGAGTTGAAGGATCTTGGAATTACTATTAATCACATTGATATCGGTGGAGGCCTTGGTGTCCGATACAGTGATGATGAAAACCCTCCTTCTCCTTCTGAGTACTTGAGTCGCATAAAATCAAAATTATTAGAACAATCACGAGACATTCCCGATATTATTGTACAACCTGGTCGCTCCATCGTTGCTCCAGCTGGGGTACTAGTTACTCGTGTAAACTTCATTAAAGAAACAAGCAACAAGTCATTTGCCATCATAGACGCATCCATGACTGACTTACTACGACCATCGCTATACGGTGCATATCATAAAATAGAACCAGTCGACTACGACGAGAATAAAACCGAGATTGAATGTGACGTCGTTGGTCCTGTCTGTGAGTCGGGGGATTTTATTGGTAAGAAGAGGCGACTTAGGATCATCGACGGTGATTTGATCGTAGTTTATGGAGCTGGGGCCTACGGACATTGCATGAGCTCTAATTATAATTCTCGTAACAGACCAGCCGAAGTACTAGTTGATGGTAATAAAATGAATCTTGTGAGACGTAGAGAGACGATACGAGATCAGTTGCAGCTGGAACTAACGGAGTTTAATAGCCAGTAAAATTGGCTGAAAAGGTTTTGTATAATTTTCTTTGTTCGCACCTAATTTCTATCAACTTTGTTTTCTATAACAACAACAACAATTAATGACAGAGTGCGTAATGATAAAAGTATATTAAATAATAATAATAATAACAACAATAATAATAATTTACATCAAATTGAGTGTGTGTGTGTATCTGCTGATTGGTAGATTGTGAAGATATCAGAAACCGTGTAGCTTCAAGTTAGCCTTGCTTACAAGACCGACCTTCACCAGGAATTCACAAATATTATTTCTCTGGTCCCCCTGAAGCTGAATTACTTCACCGTACTCTGGATGATCTACCACTGTCCCATTACAAGCGAATTCCTGCAACAAAAAAACATAACAATAGCAAGTAGGCGTGGCTTTAACATGAAGGGTTAAAAATTAATAGAAGAAACAACACTTGCCTTCTTGCAGACTTTGGCTATTTTCTTTAAGTCATAATCCTGAGATATCCCTTGTACAGTTGTTAGGGTCTTTCGCCCGTTTCTTTGCTGTATTCTCACGTGAACAAAGTTCCCATCACCCGCTCCTCCCCCACTAGCACTCGCTGTGCTAGCAGCTTTAAAAGGATCTGAAAGAAGAGTGGGAAGTCTTTTTGAAGTCAAGCCTCGATTTTACTTACCAGATTTTTCTAAGTTTAATATGTTACCAGCCATCAAAATCCTCCCAAACAGAATCACTGAGTTCGCAGAGTATACAGACGTGAAACGGATAGTGCACGGAGATTTAATTAAGTCAATTGACTATGAATAACTTAATGAGCCTAAACTTTTTTTTAAATTTTTTTCTTTAATAAAAAAATTTCTTTATATAATACCCAATTTCAAAATATTATCCAAGTATAAATGAGACACTTTTGATCGTGGCAACTAAAAAAAAGAAAAGAATAATAAACAAAAGTCTCTTAATTTTATAATAACTTTTATCTCCTTGAGAGAAAGTCGATGATTTGAAGGTACAGAAGAAAGAGAAGGAATAGGAGGAAGGAGAGAAGGGGACAGCTGGATGCACAGGAGCCACATCAGGTCTGGAGCAAAATCCGATAAAGTACGGCAAGTCTCCAAACCCAGTTTCTGTATTGGATCTGAGTTCTCCGAAGATAAGAATAGTATAACTTCTTGAGCAATGTCTTCAATTTGATCAACAGAAACATTTAACTAAAAATAAAAAGAATAAATAAATAAATAAATAAAATATAATAACAAAATAATTATACACAATACATGTACATTTAATCTCTAGTGGTTCTATTTTTAGTTTTTATTTCTATTTTTAGTAACACTGACCTCTTTGCATAGATTCCCGACTGATTCTAATATTTTCACTAATAGCTTGTACTCCATGGTGTGGCTTATTGTGGGCGTGGCATCACAAGCCACGCCCCTTAGCTGCTTGAGCGATACAACTAGTTTGGGCCAGACGTGTTCCACGACTCGTTTTCGTAGAAACTCTTTAGCTGCTGAAGCCATGACAAGAAGAACATCAATGGCCTACGATTAAAAATTCAGCTTAAAATTTCTACACAACATAAGTACATGTACATGTATATGTATCAGAAAATGTAATAAAAATGAAGAATTCTCTCAGTAACCTTGGATATAGTGTTCTTTTATATGTTCAATACAAGTTGCAACATATTTATTTTATTATTTTATTTTATTTATTTATTTAACTTTACATATTAAATAATATTAATGTATAATAACATACCTTGATTCGTACTGGTATGTGTGTATCAATCAGTCTGTGAGCCAATGGGGACCAAACAGTATGAACTTGAGGCAATAACTCACCTACACAATACAGCAAAGAATAGTACATCCATTTATAATACTATTAGTATGTAGTATCTATAGTACTTCTAATACTATCTACATGTATATGTACATGTACATGAAATATGATAGTTCTTGATATACAGTTCATAGCATACAGTAGTAGGTTAATATCGTTGTCATGTGACTGTCATGTGACATACTTTCTCTATGTCTCAATGCAGAGAGACAGAGAGAGATACAGTCCAGTATACAAAGCTGTAGTGGTAGGTTAGGAATTGAGACATAATGAACTGAAGATTGAAGAGTATCTATGGAAGCTTGAATGGCAGGTGGTGTAGGGGCTTTTGAATCTGAGGGGAGAGAGAGAGGGAGAAGGAGAAGATTATTAATTTATTATTCTTATAATTAGTGAAGGTTACCAGTTTTAATGTCTCCTTCTTCTTCTTCATTTTCTTCTATTTCTTTCTCCTCCTCCTCTTCCTCTCTCTTCTTATTGTGGTAGTTCATGAAATAATTCGAAATATCTTCCAAAGTCACTCTCTCGTCTCTAGAATCATCCTCATCTTCAACCTGTACCTCCTTCTCCATCTGCTTCTTCTCACCAACTTCTACTAGTATAAATTACACGTACATGTACAGGGTTCGTTGTCGCACCTTTTGTTTCCATGGCAACCCAGTCTGGGAGTCTTTTGGAGAGAGAGTGGAGGACAGACCAGCCATCGAGAGGAGACTGATGGAGGGAGAGAATGAGAGTGTCTTTGCAGTCTTTGAGAAGAGACAGTAACTCATAATCACTGTTAATGGAGGGAGAGAGAGAGAGGAGGAAAGATACATGTACAATAAATTTGTATATTTGAAGAATTTGAAAAAATAAAACTAGCATACAAATTTTAGAATGAATTCAAAAAATTGTGCATGTACAAAAAAGCTCTTGACAATCTTGTAATCTGCTGTACAGTATAGCCTCCTCCTATTGTGGACACTCTAAAATAAGGACACCTCTATAATGAGGACAGGTAGTATCAGTCCCAATACAATAGTAATGTGTATTAATGAACCTCTGAAATAAGGACAGGTTCATAATCAGGAGCTAGGGTATTATTGGGTCCCAAAGTGTCCGGAATAGACAGGATTGACTGTATATCTTATTGTGCATACATGTACATGTATTATCTTCTACCAGTGCTCAATGATGGCTCTTAGTATGTGGCAGCTAATGGTCTTTGAAGGATAATAGAGCAACTGATGATGGACCTCATTCACAAGATAATCAGCACAACCAGTTATCAGACTTTGTAGGTCACTAAAAGATCAATAATATAATAATGATTGCATGTACCACACACTTAATGAACTATTACTAATAAAAGGATATGAGGCTTTATGTACAGTGTACATGTACATGTACATTTTGGTGATTTCTGATTTTTTTTTCAGATGTTCTTGTCTCATAACTTGAAAAGTTGAAGTCGGAATCAGCTCAAACTTTCTACATAGCATAAGTACATCAATATGTATCAGAAAATGTAATAAAAATTGGGGGTGATTTCGGAGCCATTTTTTGGAAAAAACCATGGGCTATAGCCTTGGGTATTTTTTAGATTTTGGCTCATTTTTTAAATGGCCGTAACTCAAAAAATTGAAGTCGGAATCAGCTCAAACTTTCTACACAGCATAAGTACATCAATATGTATCAGAAAATGTAATAAAAATTGGGGATGATTTCGGAGCCATTTTTTGGAAAAAACCATGGGCTATAGCCTTGGGTATTTTTCAGATTTTAGCTCATTTTTTAAAATGGCCATAACTCAAAAAATTGAAGTTGGAATCAGCTCAAACTTGCTATGTAGCATAAGTACATCAATATGTATCAGAAAATGTAATAAAAATTAGGGGTGATTTCTGAGCCATTTTTTTGAAAAAACCATGGGCATTTTTCAGATTTTGGCTCATTTTTTAAAATGGCTGTAACTCAAAAAATTGAAGTCGGAATCAGCTCAAACTTTCTACACAGCATAAGAACATCAATATTAAAGTATCACTAATACAAGTATGTACTTGTGTCCTGTAGAAACTGCTATCTGACTTGCCACACCCACACTGGTCCTTGATACGACAGCATTGGAACTACTAATGTTAGCCATGACAATACCCAGCGTGTGCTGTAAATGAACAACAAAATCAACACCTAAAAGAATAATAAATAAATTATAATAAATATACTACAACTTACATGCATATAAATACATGTACATGTACACAATCATACAAAAATAATAAATTGTAAATTCTGGTAATATGCATGTACACATACATGTACATATAAATAAATAAATAAAATGTGTATTTAGGTGATATACATGTACATTGTACATGTACCTTGTATTACGGCCACGTCTCCTATTAATAAATTAATGAAGCAGATCTGATAGACTAAAGTTGATGATATGTTTAACGAGAGTCCATCTCCTCTTATCTCCTCCCACACGTCAATCAATCCATTAATTAAAAGGTTTAACGAGGCGTGAGGCCCTACCCCCTTCATCAACCAATGAAGGATCAGTAAATATTCCGAACGATTTGATTCCGAGCCTGTAATCGTATGCACAAGCGTATCCATGACGACAGACGTGTTGCCGTGGCGACCAAGAAGGCGACAAGACTCTTGTATTGATTTTATAGTTTCCGAGTCTCTTAAATGAGAGAAGGAAAGGGGCGGAGCCCAATCGTATTCGTCATCCTGATTAATGACCACACCCACTTTCTTTGACTCCATTAATAGAGGCCTTGATGTATCCAACTGAATGGACTAAAAGAAAAAATTAAAAATTAAAATACATGAAAATAATAAAAAATAAATAATATTTAAAATATAAAAAATATAACTTTACTTGTGCTAGTGCTTGAAGTAGTCTGGTCATGTGAGCCGAGGAGCAGGTCACATGACTCACCTGTGACTTGAGGAACTTAAGATAACCTTGCAACAGCTTGAGAGAAATCAACTTCTTCTCTTCACCTAAAAGTAATAATAATTATTGCACAAGTATGTACATGTATTTAGTATCTACAGTGTAGCAGTTAAGATGTATAATATATACTTGAGTCTCTCATTAGCCTCGGTAGTGTTGATGATAAGTCGTAGAGTTTCTCCTCCATTATTGAAGTTAAGGTGCCAGGGTACTTCATTGATGCCGACAAAAAATCCTTCAAAAATAAACAAACAAACAAATAAACAAATAAATAAATACATGTAAATAAATAAATAAATAAATACGTACCATTGTTGTATTAGCATTATTAGCAACTGCTGGTTGAGTATCAAGTGACAGAGTAACCAATAGTTCAATGACAGGACCACAGCAACCTGGAAGAGATCTAAAAAATATGCAATGTACATGTAATAATAATAATAATAATAATTAATATTAGTTCGTATACATGTACATCTATTTCTTTGTACTTTTGGCACGACGTTAATAATTTTGTTGCGGAGGCAGTCAAAGCAAGTCTCACTTTCCAGCTGTCGTGACGAGAGAGGGAGAGAAGGAGAGAGGAGAGGAGCTTTTGCATTTTGTTGTCAGCCATTTTCCACCAGTCTTCATCCTGCCTGACTAATAACTGTCCTTTATCTCTGACTAGAGAGAGAGAGAGAGAGAGAGATAGGTACAAAATTTTGTAAGGGATCATTAAAATTGCTAAATGGTAATTGATGTACCATTTTTCTCATCATTTCCAAGTTCTCTATTCTCCCATTGGCTCTCATTCAATATCAACACAATGAAGTGAGTTAATGCCAGTAGACCTAACTGTAATGTAAGGACTATAATAAGGGGCTAA